ACATGTATATAATAGAAAATAAATTCTCATTCTAATTCATTCGTTTTGATTATCTTCGATGACAACTAGACATTCAAAGCATAAATAGATGCATGTATAAAAACCTCCTTGTTTACAATTTTGGACAGAGATTGCTTCAGATCCTTCTTAATATTTTTGTTCTTAATGCTGTAGTTTAAGTCAAAACGAAATCTGAATATATAGAGAGACAGTACATGAATTACTCAGTCTAGCTGACTACTTTTTTCTCTCCAGTTGCTTAAAACTACTCGAACATTGAATGATAAGTTTCTGCAAAGACTTGGTGCATATAGATTAAAGATTATGAGTAATCTAATTATTCGAACTGAAACAAATTGGATGTAATATATTATAAATTGTTTACAAGAACAAAAAACTATTTCTAATAGTGAACTGATTTTTAACTGATATTGTATTAGAAAAATTCTTTTAATTTATAAAATAGAATATGATAAACGAGAAAAGATAATATTGACTAGTTTTTGTCCCTTTATAATAAATGAAGTACTATTTTATGTGCGCTACACTGTGACAGAAAAGTTATTTAAACAAGTCAGCACTTATGTATTTCATTTTAATATCTTATTATTTGTGATAAATTGTGTTCATATCGCATCGAAATCCAAAAAATGAAAACATTTTTATATTTGCTTTTTTATTTTATTCAAACGATAATATGCATAAAACCTATATCTTTCGTTTCCGACACGAAATGTCCTCTTTCATATATAGAGGTTATGTGTCACTTTATGGCAATGGCGATTTTTGTGTTTATGTCGGAGAGTGTGTAGATTATCTCAACCCTTTCGTCCTCGCACTTTTTCTACCCATTTATGTACTTCGTATTTTTTTAAAGCTACTAACCCTCATTGACTTAATGAAAATAATGAACAAAAAAGAAACTGATAAATTTGTTATCAATGAAAAAGTAAACATATCACCAAGTACGAATAGATGTTATTCAAAATGGTGGAATCAGAGCTATCGTCATCAACAAGTCATATGCCAAGTAATTGAATCATTTAATTTTCGTGTTCTAATTATTTTTCTAGTTATTCTTGACATATTATTTTTAATTGCTGAAATAATGTTAGAATCATTTAAAATTCAAAATGAATGTAAAATTTATATTCATCATTCATCAAAATATTATCATGAAATGATCAAAGAACGTATTGAATTGTTTATGGAAATATTACACTATGCATCCATAGCAATTTTAAGTTTTTTTCTTATTGAACTATCATTTAGAATTTATACATCTGGAAAAGAATTTTGGAATATTCGAAGAAAAAAAATGGAATATTTTGATGGATTCATTGTTATTACATCATTAATTATTGATTTGTATTTTTTATATAAAGAAAAGAAAATTTTGAGTAAAAGAATACTTATATTTTCAATTCGTTTATGGCGTTTTATTAGAATTATTAGTAGTAAGTTAAAGATTTTTATTTACTATTTTAAGAAAAAAAAAAACGAATTATATGATTTAGGTGTAGCTGAAAGTGTACGTAATAAACAACTAAAACATAAACGACGCTTAAATAAACAATATCTGAATGCTATTCATCGACTCGTGGATCTTCTTGTACATAAAACAAATTATGTTGAAAATAATAGAGAACATTTGAATTCTACACTTGAACATTTGCATATAATTGATGCTCAATGTCAATCATCATTCGATAAACTTGAGGGTGGGTGGGTGTGGGTGTGCATGTGGGTGAAGGAAAGACTACACCCACACCCTCATGCCAAGACATTGCATAACATTCCTCACGAATCGTAGTAAAGTTCTGCTAGGTGAAATCAGAAAATATTTTTCCAAATAGAAATCATTGAAATACGGACAAGATCTTGACAAAAAATCTACGCGAGTAGGCTCAGAATGACTCCAATATCTTGTTCTAATCCTAAAAGATATGTTTATTTCATGCCTACAAGTTTTTATAAGGATTTGCCGTTCCATTAACATATTTCTGGTTTAAATTCCATTGGTAAACTGCTCACGATCCTGATAGAATTTTGTTATAAATCTTGGCAAGATCTTGAAGTTCCGTAGCTACATAATTTTCTCAACGTTCATCAGTTTCTTGGGTTGTTGACGACCAGAAAACAGTAACAAACTATTTACCAACTTGATTGGACTTCGATTCAAGTTCTGTCAGCATCTTAAAATACTATGGGTACACGTTTCTTAGAATTTCTAATTTCCACAGGAAAAATGGTGAACATATGCAGGATTCTTGTTGTATATGTCAGAGAACTAGCTCAAAAACATGTACGATTTTCTCTAGCAGAAGTTCAACATCGTCTATTACAATCTATGGAAGGCAATAAGAATTCAGCAGAGGCCAAGAAGCTTCATAACAGTTTGAGATCAATATGAAAAACTTGCATATTCATGAATCCTATTCAATCGTATAAACTGTGGGATTCATTGAGACATCAAAATTAATTGCTGCCTACCAAAATCTCAGTCTCAAAGTGTCTTTCTTCGTCAGAAAGTCTGTGGCCGGCTCTTCCTCTGTTTAGTTTCCAAGAATTCCAATGGATCTGCATGGATCCTAATAGATCGTGGGATGTGCGTTAGAGTCCCTTTTTTCCTTTATAAACTATAGTAGTCAGAGTTGTATCAATAACATTTGATGATCACATTGATCTATTCAGAAAATATTTTGATTTATATATCCTTATTTTATAATTCTCATTGATTTTCTTGCTTTTGTGGATATTTAAAGCAGTGATCTATACTTCTGAACCGTTATGGACTATGTTGAATCCTAATGGACTTTGATGAATCCTCATGAATCCTACTAGATCCTGGTGGATCCTCGTGGATCCTGAGGATATGGGTGTGGGTGTGGGTGTTATTATGAATGAATTCCCACACTCTACACCTACACCCACACCCACACCCTTTACATTTAAAATAGAGAAATGCTTTAGTTATGCAAAAAGTGCATTATGACTAAAAGACTCAAAATAAATGAATTCATGCACTCAAAAGCTTCGAAACATATTCTATGAGAAAAAATGATGTCTAGAATGGACTGTTTCAGGAAACCGAATAATAATGATAGATATTCAAACATCTCGATTGTATTCAACACTGAATATTTGAATGATTTTAGAAGACGAAATTGAAAATTGAAATAGCTGAGATTTCTTGCATAGAGAAAAGCAGTATGTTGATTTCTTTCAATAATTGATTTCACCAGATCTTTAAACAACTTTATATCCAGCATAAACGATCATTTTCTTTTCCAAGCAAAAATGTTTCTGTAAAATGTGTACAGTAAAGAGGTCTATGCTCCAAATCTCGTACTATCACGATGTACTTTTAATGGAATAATAGAATTGGGAAGCGAGAAGAATGAAACGACACTAGAAATAGAACTTAGTGTGTCGACAACTACTCAGTCATTTAAAATTAATCGATTTCAAATACAAATTGTAGGACTCGATAGAGTAATATTTGCTCTCTTCTCCAACAAAAAATCTCTGCTTATAAAATATTTAAGAAAGTGTTTATATAAGATTTGTATTGAATAAAACGAAATCATTAATGGAATTCGAGTCAGTCACTCTACTAAGACATGTACAGCAGTGTGTTTCGATGACGAAAGTTATTGACAACGTGGAAAAACAAATTTGGTACTTCAGTACCCGAATTTGTGTGGGTCGCCATTCATTTGAGTTTAATCGCAACCATTAGATTTTTGCTTAGCCATCTTAAATTCGATTTATAGAAAGCATGAATAGGAAAATAATCAAATTAATAATATTCGGTTTAAATCAATGAACAAAATTTTCATGTAAAGTTTCCATCGAAGTTTCTCATTGAGGTAACAATATCAAGTGTGAAGTGGATAATTTGAGTTCAGAGTGTGCATTCATTTACTTTCACTTTCACATCTTGTATTCTCTCAAATCTGAGTCTTACATCAATCATAAACATATTTTTTGTGCTTCAAGACTTATAAACAAGCGATTATAGATCATTTATCTTATCTGTTCTTCAAAATTATGTTGTAAACAATTGAAATTTGAACAATCTATGTAAAACAAGTTAGAAGTTTTTATTATGAGTAAATATATGAAAAAAAAAGTGACACATAAATGTCATGTACATTTTAGCTTAGCGTGACTGATCTTCTCAACTATCGTTTTTCTATGAAAACTACAAAATATTAGAAAAGATATCACAAGTTTAAATAATTTCACAATGAACAATACCAAGTATAATCCTGTGACATATTTACAAAATACTCTTTTTAAGTTTATATTGGTTAATCGTGTAATGAAAGTTTTTTTTTCGTGTAATAAAAATAGTTTCCACTTAAAGATATAAAATTTCTGATGTTATTTGATGATTTTGTGAATGTTGAGAAGTTTTGCTTGAGCGTCTGTTCATAGAGTCGTTTGTTTTGGCTGAAGATTTTTTTAGACATATCAATAGAAATAAACAATTTTTTATATTACGTCGTTTCTTCCATGCAAATAATAATAATGATAAAAAACAAATAACTCCAAAAATCAAAAAT